CTGTGTCTCTCTCCTCTGCTCTTCTCCCCCCAGCAAAAACAATCTAGCTTGGAGCCCAGACCTACTTGGCCGCCTGGGCACCTCACACAAGTACCGGCCATACGCCCCTGATGGCGGTCCTGGCCGGGGACTCGGATCGCGACCCCCCTGTTAACTTGCGGGACCCCACATGGGGTCGCGACCCACACTTTAAGAAGCACTGATCTAGAAGTATGTGTTTGTAGATGGTCATTACTAAATATTTCTAAAGGTCTTTGTTGTCATTTTGAAGACGAGTAAAGTTTATATCTTTAAAATTTCTTCCGCCTGCGTAATGTTGAAATAAAAAAAAAAGAGTTGACTTACCTTTTTACTTTCCAGTCCAGCCCTACCCATGCCTCCATCATGACTAGGCTAAACGTGTAATACCCATCCCTGCAGCCTTCTAGCATATGCAACACATCCCAAGAGGCATCAGCACACGAACAGCACTTCAGGCGGGAGTATCAGGCAATGCATCAGAAGGGAGCAGCTGCAAGCCAGCTTCCCATTGCAAGAGGAAGGAAGGTGGTCATGCACCTGCGGATCACAACAATTCTGATAACGCCAACAATGGATTTGTTGGTGTACTTTTATTGTGGATACCACCTTTAAAAAAAAAGGTAACTTTAGCAGCCAGAGAAATTACAGCTAAAGGCGGAAGTGATGTAATACACATCACTTCTGCCTTTAGAGAGAGGAGGAATCAGCAAGTAGGACAATGCCCATCTCTCCTCTGTTAACACTAAAAAAAAGCCACTGGGCTGGTCCTGAGCCCGCAGGGGGAACAGCATCACCCAGGATAACCGGCAGCGGATGGGGGGGGGGAGCGCGGCAGCAGAGGGGGGGCTGCACACTGTTTGTTGTCATACAAGTGATCGGACGGCTTGTCATACTACCGGCTGTTTACATGCACAGGGGAATTCTGCACGCGAGCAAGAAAAAAAAAATGCCGTGCAGGTATGTCCGCACGCCAAGAAGAGGTTGTTGTCGGCCTGTTAATTTACAAGGGGCAAATCGTTAACTGCCTATGTTTAACTACAGATTACACATGAAGGCAAGGTTTTGAAAATCTTGAAATATACTAACTATTGTAAAAGTATTAAACTCACTATTTTTCAACAATCAATCAAGATCAAACAAATATACACTGTCCAGCAAAGTATTTATTTACATTACTCTTCCTGTCCAGTACAAAATCACAAGGGATATCAGTCTCCAGCAGCCGTCCATCTACTGGCTTGGAGAAGGGCGGTGTCCTGCCTTGCTGTGCCTGTGTGTTTGTGGGGAGACACACAGCTTACTAGAACACACATGGGTGGCTCCAAAGGACCCTGCAAGGCAAAGAAGCCAACCTAGAACAGGATATCAGGGCCAGTGCTCAGCTGATTCTGCAGGAAACAAACCTTTAATCAGAGAGCAGCATCCATTCTAAGTAATTTAATGAGCATTTGAAATACCTTTGAAACATTTTGACAGTAAAGTAAAAAATTGTTTTAAACAAATCATTGGGAAGTAGGGATTTTTGCATGCATTCCCCCTCCCCACAGT